TGGTGTTGGTGTTGGTGTTGGTGTTGGTGTTGTTACTGGGGCCCGTGTTTCGTGCCCGGGAATGGATCAGGGGCGCAAAAGGCTGGAGCCCCAGATGTCTGGGGACATCCTCCATTCCTGGGCGTCCTCCGATGTCGACTCCTTCGGCCAGCGTCCCCAGACGATGTTTTTTTTGGGTTCGGTCCAGGCGACCTTTCTCGATTTCGACTCCCGGGGCCCGTTGTCCTGCCCCAGGGCCATCCAGAGTGGAGGGTTTCTCCGAAGGGCTTAGGCGATCCGTCCTTCTCCTCCTCCTCCTCCTCCTCCTCCTCCTTCTCCTCCTCCTCGTCGTCGTTGTCCTCCTCCTCGGCCTCCTCCTCCTCCTCCTCCTCCTCCTCCTCCTCCTCCTCCTCTCTCCTCCTCCTCTCTCCTCCCTCCTCCTCCTCCTCCCTCCTCTCCTCCTCCTCCTCCTCCTCCTCCTCCTCCTCCTCCCCTCCTCCTCCTCCTCCTCCTCTCCTCCTACCTCCTCCTCCTGCCTCCTCTTCCTCCTCCTCCTCCTCCTCCTCCTCCTCCTCCTCCGCCCCTCCTCCTCCTCCTCCTCCTCCTCATCCTCTCTACCTCCCGTTTCAATAACCTCCTGCTCTTCTCCTCCTCCTCCTCCTCTCCTTTTCCTCTCCCCATCCCTCCTCCTCCTCCTCCTCCTCCTCCTCCTCCATCTCCGTCCGACTTACGAATCCAGACGGGGGCCATCGGCTGATTGCCGTCTTGGATTCCCTGCATCGAGTCCGGGGCCGGCCGCGCGGGCCAGAGACCGAAAGGTGGGAGTCGCCGCCAGGACGGAAGAGTTTTGAGGGGTCGGGTAGGGGGGGGCTCGAGCGATTCTGCCTTCGATTTGAATCTCGCAGCTGAGATCGCGATGGCGCGAGGCTTTCATTCAGTTTCTGTGCTGTTTGACATGATAAAATGCTACGAGATGATTGGACCTCTTGCTTTGTTGCAGGTCTTCCGACAGGTCGGTTTCCCGCTCAGGTTGGGGTGGGTGCTCGTCCTGAGCAACCTGGCCCCGAGACGGGTCGGCGTTTTCGGGTCCCTGTCGGGGGCCAACGTCAGTTTTCAAGGACTTCTCACTGGCTGCTCGGCGGCGTCGGCGGTGATGCTTGCGGTGTGGAGCCAGCCAGTTCGCAGCGTCGGTTTTCGCTTCCCGTCGGTGAGAGCGTGAGCTCTTGTGGGCGAGGTGTCCCTCCAGTGGGCAGGGCCCGGCAAGGTGGAGCTAGCGTGGTTTTCGCCGCGGCCCGTGAGCGGCGTCGGGAGGGCGCCCCGAGAAATCTTCTCCTGCAGCCTAACACGTCGGGCTGTGTCGCGTCGAGTGTGGCCGCAGAGGAAAAATACTGCCTGAGCTGGCCGCTCGATCGGTTTTCGGCATCACATGCACACGCGAAGCGTAGGGCATGATCTGTGCGGGAGACGGTTTTGCGCGTGGTGGAGGCTCGACGTCGTGGGCAGTTGGACCTCAGAAGGCAGCGTCCGTCTGCTGGCCTTACGTCATGCTGCGGAGGGGGGGGGTCGGGGCGCGCCTTGTGGCAGCCATGGCGCTGCAGCATCGGGTGTCACCGACGCCGCTCTCCTCGGCCCTCGTTCGCTTGCAGCGTCTCTCATGGGCGCTGAGAGTGACAGCCGTGCCACTCCGTATTGGTGTGCGCGTCGCGACCCCTCGTGCGATCCCGTGTTCGACGCGAGCGTTCCCCCTCGTCTTCAGCTGCCGTTGCTGGATCTGGGCCGGCCGTGCCAGGGATTCTGACCTCGGGCGCGTCTGGGGGCAAGCGCCGCAGACGCAGGCTCTGTGTGACAAGCCCCGCTGGTCCAGTGTCAGGGGGCCCATGGGTGCTGTCATACCCTCGCCGCAACGAGCAGGGCGGGGGCTGATAAGCCCGCGCCGCATGGGGACCGATCAGCAGCAGATCGTTTCCCTGTTCCGTGCCTCGCCGGGCGGTGTGCGTTTGTTTACTCCTGCGTGCTGGAATCAGTGGAGTCCGGGGGGTCCAGATAATTTCCAGTCTTCCTGAGGCCCAGGGGCGCGAATGTGTCTGGGTGCGGGCTCTTCGGCTTGGATTTCCGAGACTGCATGACGTCCGTCGCTCGTGCCTCAGGGCGATCTGGGCTGGCGCCACGTGGCCAGCTGCGCGCATGTTTCAGCGCGTGTATGCATCAAGCAGTAAGTGTGGTTTTTGTGAGCACCAGCAGGGCACGCTAGGCCACAAGTTCCATGGGTGCGAAGAGTTTTGGGCAGCTAGTGACGACCCTGATGTAGGCCCCGTGATGCAAGACGATTGCTTCGAGCATCGGGAACGGCTCAAAGAGCAGGCGAAGTCGGGATCCCTCCCGACTTCGATATTTCGGAGTTGGTTTACGGGTTGCCCTCTCTCCCCGTGCAGATCCCGCCTGGGGCAGACAAAACTAAAGTCTTTTCCTGGGGTGCCACCTCCGCGCCCCGGGGTTTTCGCTTGTGCACGGACGGGGGTGGCCTGGCGTCGGGGGCCCCCGAGGCTACCGGGTGTGGTTGGTCTGTGGTTGCCCGTTCCCCTGGGGGCTGGCCCGTGCGGGCTGACTATGGGGCCCTCGCGGGGCCTGTCCAGACGGCCCCGCGAGCCGAACGCCAGGCCACACTCCGCACTCTGAGAGTGGGGCCGTGGGGCCCCGAGGTGGTCTGCGGCTACTAATCAGCTGTGCGCGAGGGTGAGTCCTGGGGCCCTGGGCTGGCCGCGGGCTCGGCCAGGCGCGCTTTAGTTTGGAAGCCTGAACGACGTAGGTTCCGCTGGGTCCCTGCTCATCTGGATATTGAGCAGGTCCTTGGGGGCCGGGCGTTTCGCGGGGAGTCCTTGGGCCAGAGCGTTGTCGATTATACAGGAAACGCCCGGGCCGACTTCGCGAGACATGGGGCAGTTGAGCGCGAGCTTCCCAAGATACTGACGACCCGACCCAGCTGCGCGAGTCGCTTAAAGACTGCAACCGAGCCCTCGATGCCACTTCGCGAGCTGCGCAGCATGCGGCTGCCTCTGCTCCTGACGCGCCTGCTCCCGCGAGAGTGCGCGGGGACTGCGTCCCCCAACTCGCTTTGCTTCGCATGATCAGGATGACAAAACAACAACGCACACCCATACCCATAGGGGTGTCGGAGAGGGCTATGGGTGCGTGTTGTCGGATGGAGGTCCCCGCTCGAACGGGAGCGCTCCCCAGGGTCCGACAACCCGCACCCATGCCCATAGCCAGGCATCCCCCCAACGACCCCCCTATGGGAAGGGGTGTGTGTTGTTCGTTCGTCACAGGAGGTGGTGGTGTGGTGGGGGGGGGGGGTAACGGGGGGCGCGAGGCGCGCGCGGTGCCGCTGCTCGGCGCGGGTGCCACTGGGCGGGCGAGAGCCCCAGCGGCCTCGGCCGCCCCACCGCGCTCCAATCCTCGCCTCTCCGCCGTGCGCGCCCGGAGGCGCGGGGGAGCCCGCCGTGGACTCGGTGTGGCGTTGTCCAGACGGCCCTCCAGCTCCTCCTCCTCCTCCTCCCTCCTCCCTGCTCCCTGCTCCCTCCTCCTCCTCCTCCTCCTCTCCTCCTCCTCCTCCCCCTCCTCCTCCTCTCTCCTCCTCTCTCTCCTCCTCCTCCCTCCTCCTCCTCCCCTCCTCCTCTCCTCTCCTCCTCCCTCCTCCTCCTCCCTCCTCCCTCCTCCGCCTCCTCCTCCTCCTCCTCCTCCTCCTCCTCATCCTCCTCCTCCTCCTCCTCCTCCCAGGAGTTGGGGCTCGAGGCCTCCGCCGAGGCCCCGACGGGCCCCCCCGGCGCCTTTGCCCTCGAGGGTCCTGCGGTGCAGCCAGCAGGTCGATGCCTCGCTTGCCGCCGCTGCGCCGTCGGACCGAGGCCCCGATCGGGCGCGAGTTGCTGGCCCCTGGCGAGGGGTCGTCGACCTCGAGGCGAGCTCGGTTCAGGGGCGAGGTCCTCGCTGGACGCGAGCCGCGCCCGCCGACTCGTCCAGGGTAGGATCGGCGCCGAGCGTCGGAGCTGCTCTAGATGGGTTGTTGTTGGCGGCTCGTGCGCGCCCGTGCGCGCTTTCAAGGGCGCGCGCGCGGGTCTCTCCTGCGCTGCCCTCCCTCCGAGTCACGGCCTCCCCTGTCTGCCCTGCTGGTGTCTGTCCCGTCGGATGCTTGGCCTTGATTGTCCCTTGTCCTCTGTCCTCCTCTGCTCCCCTGGGGGGCGGCGCGAGGGCGCGAGGTTATTCGCGCTCCGCGCTTCGCGCTTCGCGCAGCGCGAAGGAGACGGGGGTCAATGCAAACGGGCGTCAGCCACATCGCCAGGTCTTGCCGGGTCCTGTAGAGCCAGGGGCGCGCTGACCCGAGACCGCGTGCAGGCTCCTGCAGGATCCTGCAGGGTTCTGCACAATCTTGCAGGATCCTGCAGGATCCTGCAGGGGCCCGAGAGAGCCCAAGAGGCGGCGGGAGGCAGTGCCCTTCGCCCGGAGAATTTCATAAGGTGCGTTTTGGTTCGGCCTCGGGGCCCAAAACCTCCACAGGTCGGCCCGGTTCGAAACATGGCGCAGAAAGATGTGGATGCGGGGCTCTGGTCGCGTTTGTTTTTGTTTGGCGATGTTGCATGTTCTGCAGCGTCAGATCTGAGGGCACGGTCAGTTCGTGTCTTGTCGACCAGCGGCGACCCCGCCGTCGGCGTTCGACCGTGGACGCCGCCGGCGACCCGGAACCGGTCGATGCTGAAGGAGCCAACGTTTCGGTGAACGATCCCCACGGTGTCAGAAGCCGACGCCGAAGTCGGCACGGTACGCGCCCGCGTAAGGCGGCAGTGAGCAGAGCAGGCGAGGGAGGCGGGTGCCCGCTGTGCGCCGCCGGGCGCCGCCGACCCTGAGGTGGGACGACGGCGACGACGACGACGACGAGGAGGAGGAGGAGGAGGAGGAGGAGGAGGAGGAGGAGGACGACGACGACGACGACGACGACGACGACGACGACGACGACGAGGCACCCCGCGGCGGCGCCAGGCCTCCGCCTTCGGCTTCCTGCAGGGCGGTCCCCTGGCGGCCCCGCAGCCGCCGACCTCGGACCTGGCCTCGCAGCTCGGGTCGCTGCAACTGGGCGCCACCTCCGCCCCTCCTCGGCCCTGGGGGGAGGGAGGGAGGGAGGGGAGGGGAGGGGAGGAGAGGGGAGGGAGGGAGGAGGAGGAGGATCCTTTTGGATCCTGTTGGCCAGTCCCGAGGGCCACAAGCATGCACCCCAACAACGGAGCACCGCCACCCCATCCTGGGCACCGAAGCCCCCAGAACCACATGGCCATACACCGCTGATACAGGGCGCACCTTCGCAGCCGACGGGTATTACTCTCCTCTCTCAGCCGTCCGCGCGTGGTTCCGTACACCCGCGTTGGGGCTCGGAGCCGAACGCCTTGCCGCCGCCTCCGCCGAGGGCTCGCGCGGCCTTCCCCAGCGCCTCCAGGGCCTCCTGCATTCACGACGACCCTGCCATGGCATTGGCCAGGATGGCCGCCAGGCGCTGCCGCTTCGCCTCCGCCTCGTCTGGCGGAAGCCCAAGCACGCAGGCATCCCAGCGGCCCTTTGCACCGTCCGCGTCCACGAGGAGGCCGTCGCCGACCTCTCCGAGCTGCTTGTCGACGAGCTCGTCCTGCACCGCGTCGCCTGCGAACGGCTCCGTGGTGCCGGCTGCGTCCGCGGGCAGGCTCTCGTCGTCCTTGTCCACGTCCTCCTTCTGCCCCTTCACCACGTCGTCCGCGAACTGCTCCGTCCGCGTCCTCGGGCGGGCGCCCGTCGTCCTCGTCCACCTCCCGGCCGTGCGAGCCCACGACCCCCGGCGGCTTCACGAGCAGGCCCTCGTGGTCCGCCTCGTCGTGCCCGCTCTCCACGAGCTCATCCTGCGCACCGTGGCCCGCGGACGGCTCCGAGGCGCCGCCCGCGTCCACGGCCAGGCTCTCGTAGCCTCTGCCTGCGTCCCTGCAGGGCGAGGGCACGACCCCCGGCGGCTTCACGAGCAGGCCCACGTGGCCCGCCCCGTCCTTGCCGTGCGGGTCCTCGTCCCGCATCCCGTGGTCCACGACTTGCCCCTTGGCGCCGTCCGCGCCCACGGCCAGGCTCGCGTCGTCCTCGCGCGCGTGCTTGCCGAGCGAGGGCACGAACCCCAGCGGCTGCCCGAGCAGGCTCGCACAGGCCTCCTCGTCCTTGCCGTGCGAGCCGAACAGCGGGAAGCGCGGGACGGTAGGCAGCACCACCTGCGACTCCGCGACGCCCCCCTTTTGTTGCAGCACGTGCGTCCACACCTGCATCATCAGATTCTTGATTTCGATGAGCCGCTCCTCGACCTTGGGGGAGCCGCCAGAGGAGTTCACCCCCTCCGAGTCAGTCAGACCCCCCGAGAGGGGGAGTGGCCGCCGACAGCTGCTCGACGCTTTTCTTGACCACGAACTGTTTGGTGCCGTCCGCGTCCGCGGCCAGGCTCGCGTCGCACTGGTCCTGGTCCTCCAGCGGGACCTCCACTACCTCGCCGAAGTCCGCCATCAAGTCCACCACGGCGGCCTTGCCCTCGGCCTCGACCTTGGCCCCCCATGCGGCCCCAGCTAGCCAGCGCGCGGCCTCGCCGAGGGTCGCCTCGCCGCGGGCTGGCCGCCGTGGCCGGCCCGCGCCACCGGCCGCCTGCCGCGCTCCCGCAAGCCTCGCAGCCCTCGCAAGCGAGGGTGTCCTCGCCCGGGCTCGCGACGAGCTCCGCCGCGGCGCCCCGCAGCTGCTACGCCGCGGCCGCCGGGGCGGGCCGTGCCTCGCCCGCCGCGCCAGGGCCCTGGGCGGCCGGCGCCTGCAGGAGGGCCATCAGCTCCGCAGCCTCCGCCGGCGAGCTGCCGCGGGCGCGCGAGGCGCCGTGCCTGACCACGCGGGGGCGGCCGCCGCCGCCTCTGCCGCCGCGCCCCATGGGCCGCGGAGGGAGCGCGCGCCCCAGGCGCGCGGCCGTGGGCTGGGTCGCGGCCGGGGGGCAGAAGGCCCCCCCACCCCAGCTCGCCAGCCGCTTGAGCCACAATGGCTACGGAGGAGGAGGAGGAGGAGAAGGAGGAGGAGGAGGAGGAGGAGGAGGAGGAGGAGCAGGAGGAGGAGGAGGAGGAGGAGGAGGAGCAGGAAGAGGAGAGGATGATGAGATGAGAGGATGATGATGATGATGATATGATGATGATGATGGATGATATGATGATGATGATGATGATGATGATGATGATGATG